AACTGCTGTTCCTACTGTGAGCCCACACCCCACCCTTGGAGCTCCCAGTCCTCTAATGTAGAAGCTGAAATTGCTGGGCTTTGACCAGCTCTGAGGGAGGCTTTGCTATCCTCTTTGTTCCTCACCATCCATTTCACCTGACCCTTGGATGTTGGGACAGAGAGATCTTCTTTCCCCGTTTGCCCATCTTGATCTTTCTCTCCCCTGCCCTCATCCCCATGCAGGTGATGAGAGAAGGGGTTTATAAGAAAGGGAACAAATTACTCCTCCTCCTCCACTGCAGCTGTTGAATCAATAAGTCAGGTGGATCCCTGACACTCCTGGTGCCTGGGGCTTCACAGTCCTATTGGATAGGCTTAGATATGTCAGACTAGCATATGCAAGAAGAGCATGGAGAAGAATGTGTGGGTCTGAATGTGCAATGCTTGTATTAGTTCTATACTGAGCCCGTGTCTTTGTTTTGTCCTCTGCCCTGGGAAGGATAGCTGGAGGCAATATTTGCACTCAAGGTGGGTAGTTCCACACCTTTCCAGACAGACACACAGCAGATGTTTGCACTCTACAAATTTTGGTACCAGTTGCCCCACCTTATTTATGGCTCCAGGCAGCTCAGTGTCATTGAAAGGATGGAGTTCTTCTCTAGGTCAGTTTCAGTACAAATTGGAAAAGAATCCAGGGCCATACTGCTTGCTTGTGTATTAAAGACCAGCTCTGTGTATTATTGTGACCTGGCCCGGGACCCCCTTCCGTAGATGGGCCAGACAGAGCTTCACCGCAAAGTTTATTTTTATTGTCTAACACAAATATAGCCACTCTAGGCAGATCACAAACATAATTTGCTCTCAGTGAGTGCCAGGGAGTTTAATGCTCTCTTAAACAAACATTTGTTCTTAGCAAGAGCCCTTAGAATCACCAACATAGGCTGAAGTGAAGTCCTGACCCTTCTAGTATGCCTCAGAAATGAGCGCAGCAAAGAGTTTCATAGCAGGGATGCTGAATACAAGCCTTCATTTCTCCTTGCGACCAGGTAGCCTGCAGCCTTTCTCCAGTTATGCTGGGGTAGGCCTCCTCCAATGTGCCATAACTAGGCTGCCAACACCTTTCCTGGGTTGTGTGTCTAAAGTCCATTTTGATTTGTGCAGACTCTGGGGAGCAGCATGCTGTGGGAGGAGCATGTGGAGGCGAGGACTTAGCAGGTAGATTTGCAGGAGGCTGCTGGCCATCCCTGCAGGTTGGAACAGCAGACCCTGGGCATCTCTGCTGGCAATGGCCTCCATGACACCTTGCCCAGCAGTTCTCCTCCCCGTGCCTGGCTTCGTCCCTCCACACTTGAGCTGCCTCCTCCAGGGGAACCAGGAATGACTCCCACTGACTCCCACCGTCCTGTGTCGGATTCTGATGGTGGATACTCTCCCAACTGTTCTGTAGAGAGAATGTGTGTGTGAGAGAGGGGGTTTCCTCCTGCAGTGCCAGGGCTTCGCAATCCCACTCGTTTTCCCAGTTTCCTTCACTCTCCTCCCAGCCCTCCTTCAATTCCTAAGCCTCCAGACTTAGCCAGGAGACCTCTAAAGTCTCACCTCAATTGACAGGTGTGCTGCACATGGGAAAGTGAGTACCTGCTCTTGAGGAGGTAGAAAACCCACTTTCCCCAGCAAGGGGGCTGGGCTTACAATTATGCTATGGCATTCGAAGTGTGTGATTCTAAACAGCTGCCAGTTGGATAATTTTCCCATCTTCGCTTCCTTCTTACAAACAGCAAAGAGGCAAATAAGCTTAGGTTTATCTTGGGGGGAAACTGTAGTTTTGCTTTAAAAAATTCTTGTTCAGTACATGATGCTGATGAGTTTAGAAATGGATTTTGCTACAGCATATCAAGAGTGATTAGATGAAATGTGCTTAGAGAATAAAACGCTTCCTGAGATCAATGGGATAATAAATATCTCTCCCATCCATGTTGCTTTCTAAACACTTTTTGAAGTACAGCACCCAAAACCTTCAACACTTAGGTTTTGTCACACTTGACAAGCTGTCGGTTTTAATGAAAATGCTCTCCATCAGAAAATACGTAGATTTCTCCTTCTACTTTCCTGTCATCTTTTATGACTGGTATTTTATAGTTTAGAAGAACTGATTGTTCAAGCATTATATAAGCATTTAATATCTATTAAGAAAAACAAGGAAATATGCATGCTTTCAAAGCTGCAACCATAAACATCATATGTTGGTGTCAAATTGATACAGTGGATTATCTGCAACATGTGGCAAAGCTAACACTAGCTTATATTATTTTAATGAAAACAAGATGAAACATTTTTATTTGTGTATAAAACAAAGGTATGATATACTGTGTCGGATACTGGGATCCTTTACTTGCACATTGTAGAAGCGTTACCTGAGTGGTCTTTGGACCTATGCAGTGGAATCAGGAATAATATGTTACTTTCTTGAATGCTCCAGTTCAGGATACTCCATCCCCTTTCAATAGTTTGCCATTCATATATATGACAGCTCTCTGTTTTCGACATCACCCTGTGATCAAGGTTCTCCTGTTTAATCACTCAGGGAGTGAATGAGGTATTTCCTTACTCCTCGCTCAGTTCAGAGAATGTTCAGAGAATGTTCACTTTGAATGTTCTACTCTGCTGCCACTGTGTCTCATATCTGCTGCTGCTTCAGCAGATTTGCAAGAAACTGCAGAAAACACTGGATTGCAGCTGATTAAACTATATGAAGATGAATTCTTGTCTTTTTTTTCATGTGTGGAATTATTACTGCATGAAAGTTCAATGATGTTATTGTGCTGGGAGAGCAAATCAACATTTTACAAAGCAATTCTAAAAATGAGGAAAGCCCAAACAAAAAATTGTAACTTTGAAATTGGACTTCAGATCAGCACCATTCACACCTGTTGAAAAACAGCCCTGACAGTTGCTTTATGTTTGGGTGAGAAGTGGTTAACTGATGAAGAAAAGAGTCAGCTTCTGGGTTTTTTCCTTGCTTGTTGTCACATAGTGAATGGTAGTGAGCTGAAGAGGGTATCCTGTAGACCATCTTGATTTCTAACATTGGTGTTGTCAGTATTCAGCCTGCTCTTTGTTGTGCAAAGCATGTCATAATTTTCCTGCTGTTAATGCAGGAACAATATAGTGCAGCAATAGTAGGCCTGGAACTCCGAATCATGGATATGGAAGCGCCATAACCCACTGGAGGGTGTTTTTATTTAAAAAAGAATTGAATAATAATTGACTTGACAGATCTTTCCATGATCTCTAAGTGACAATAGTATTGTATTATTATCAGTAATAACAGTGTTATCAATAATTTGCTTCAGCGGATTTCCTTTGCTTCTAAATTTCTCTTTATGGCTGCTTTGTGGATTAATTACATGCTCAAATTCTAAACATTCATGCGGAATCGCGTGGTGGTGAGGGTGTTTACATATTACAATGTAACTCAGAATCAGTCACCCAGTGATGACACTGAGGGAGCGAGAGGGAGAGTAGTTCTCTGTTTCCTGAATAACTAAATGGGTGATTCAAGCTAATCTGAGATTATGTTGTATCACCCCACTGCAAGCAAAGGGAAAAGAATGGGTGGAAAAGCAAACAAATTTAGGTGTACAGCTGGAATACAGGCCATCTAATTGACAGGAAAAAGTGACTTGAACCATCCTTTCTGATACTCTTGCTTCTGTGGAGGTCGAGAGGCTATATTTGTATTTCTTAAGATCTTTGAATTATTTTATTTTATATTTTAGGTCTAGTTTCATATTGTTTATCTGTCTGCCTGATACTTAATTCTCCTCACACAGAATCTAGAGGGGAAATCCACAAGTATTAACTTGGATAGAATTGGAATTTCCTTTTAAGGATCTCTCCACTATTTTGTCTCTTGACTATATATGAGTTAAGAAACTCTCCATTTCAGATTTAATGGCCATCCTGTCTCTCATACCAAGTGTTTACTAGGATTACCTTCAATGTGGTTGTCACATTCCCTTTCACCAGTCAAAGGCACAAGCTATGTGTCGTTCAGCTGCCACCAGTGGATTACATCAAATTTATTCACTATTAATGACAGAGGTCCGGGCCAAATCTGCATCACCTGTTTTGAAGGATTAAGAGTGTATCAGGCATAACCATGATGCATCAGCATGTATGCTTACAACCCCCTGCATTGATCTGTACAGAACTCACATGCCTTCACTATGCTATTGTCTTCAGTCAGTGAATTCATTTCCAATGTTCTAACTGCAATCTACAGACATTCTTCTTTTCCTGAATGCTTGCAGAGGTGTTTAATGACTAGAACATGAGATTGGGCTTTGGAAATCCAGGTGCAAATTTCCAACCCACTATCTTTCCACATAATTTATCTCACCAAATTGTGAGAAAAAAATTGTGTAACCTCCGTGCATAAGAGCTGAGCAATTTACAGAAAGATGATGAAAGAATGTTAAACTAAATATTTTTATTTAATGTTGTTGGACTCTTTCGCCCTCTAGTTATCACATACTAATATCCAATTTCCTTTCCTTTCCTTAAGTCTGAAGTGGTCTGATAGTTCTTTGTTATTCATATCATCATATGTAATTATGTATATCAACCTGTATAATTATATTTCATATTCAGATTCAGTGCTAACATAAAAGAATATGCTTTTGTATTTTTCACTAGCTGACTCACATCTAATAAGTAATTTTATCCCATTTTATTAAAAAATATCTGTATGTTATCTGTGCTGAATACTGAATTAATTAGATGTTTCTTGAGCAGTTCCATGATATAGCATATGTTGGGTTTTTTTTTAACAAAAAATATTCTTTATACTTTTCAATTGAGTTAGAGGTAGGTAGTGAATACTTATCATTTTAAAATATAAGCACTGGCAACAATGTGCATTTTTTGGTCTTTGACAGGAAAATTTATAATTCTTTGGAGCAAGAGAATGGCAAAGGTTTTTCAGATTTACAAACTTTTCCATGTTCTTATGTCTTTTAGGATCTAGATTTCTCATCACATCCACGGGAGCCTTGTATATTATAGATGTACAGAATGAAGATGGATTGTATAACTACCGATGTATCACACGGCACAGATACACTGGAGAAACACGACAGAGCAACAGTGCTAGACTTTTTGTATCAGGTATGCAATGATAGTTGATAGAAGTGAAAGTGCTTATACCTACGTAGGCGTTTAGTCTTTCAGAAAATGTGTAACGTGTATACTCACAACTTAAGAAGAATAGCAGTTCGCCTTGTAGGTGGGTATTCTTGGAGATGGGCATCAACCTCTGGTGAGGCAGTTTGTGTTGGGTCATTTAGCATCCTAACAGGTGTTCAGCATTTCAAAGCCCTGCCTCCTCTGATGGGTGCTCACTCAAAGGCAGGGGTGTGGCTTCCCGTCCCTGCCTCTTTCAGGTGCTGCCTCTGAATGGACTCCTGCTGGAGGAGGCAAGATTTTGAAGCACTGTCCAGCTGCTAAATGAACCTGCATGAACCACCAAACTGGCACTTCATGATCATCTCTGCACAATGCTCATTAAGAATTATCCATGAAATGTATAAAATATCAAGAGTGGGGAAGACAGGAATGTTGTGCCAAAAAGGGGAAATGAAAACACTGGTCAATTCAGAATAGTGTGTGAGAAGTAGGTTCCTAAAATAATCTTTAACATACGGATAGTTCCCTACTACACTGAGTTATCACATTCTTGGGTTACAAACCAGAAAAACTGTTGAAGATCAGAGGAAAGATGTGCATTTGCTCAATCAGGCAAGTAAGTCTGTATTTCAAAATCTTAGATATGGGAACAGTCTTTTTAACCTTAAAAATAGTGGCCAAAGTGGGGTAGTCCTAGCAAATCAATGGGAGTTTGGTGAATCAGCATTAATGAAAGTGTGTCATTGATTCAAGGCTAGACTCCCACTGGATTTATGCAAGCAGTCTTAAAACGAGGATTGCATTTGCAGCTCACAGTGACACAGAACAAGGTCAAGCAATTTCACAGACCTGAACTTTTCTCAGTACAGAAATCTGCTGTAGGCTAGATCAGGTTCTCAGTCTGTGAATTTGAGAATCTTTTAAAAATAAATATTCTATTTTTTTTTTCTGGAAAAGGACTCCAAGCAGCTCATAAGAAGCTGCTGAAATTGTGCATGATGGTGTGCTGTGTGGAAACTAAGTCTGACTAAAGAAGCTACTTGGATGAGTAGCGAAACATCTCAACCTAATAGGAAAGAAGTCCAGTTGCCATGACTCAGCTTCCAGATAACCTCACCTGAATGACTGAGAATCTTCACAGAAAATTTTGTCTTATGTTAATTAAGAGTGTTCTCTAACTGATTAATCAACTGAATGCTGTCTGCCTCCCAAGACATAACTGTGTTCCTTTCTAGACCCAGCAAACTCGGCTCCATCTATTCTGGATGGATTTGAACATCATAAAGCCATGGCAGGACAGCGAGTGGAGCTGCCTTGCAAAGCATCTGGACACCCAGCACCAAAGTATCGCTGGCTGAAGGACAGCGTCCCCTGGGAGCCTGACAGCAGGTTCCGGCCAACAGTGACGGGGCTCCTGATAGAAAACACACGCCCATCAGACTCAGGCAACTATGTGTGTGAAGTGTGGAACAATTATGGGACAGCTGAAGTGATAGGCCGCTTGCACGTAAAACGTAAGTGGTTCACAGGATACCGGGCTCCATCACAAAGGAACTCCAAATCAATTCAATTAAGTCAAACAAAGATAGATTGCATACAAAGTGTTAGTTTTGCTGAACAGGAAGAAAACTGGTACCATGAGCTTCTGGTACCATGGGTTTCTTACAGCTGAACTGTTTGTTCTATTGAGAAATGCCACCCAATGTTCAGCAGGACTTGCTCACAGGTAAGTAACTACATGAGTACAAGCATAATCCGTGATTTACAAATATAAAAGAGCATTTTTCTGTGCATTCATTGGCTGAAATTCAACATCACATGAGTAGCTAACCAGCAGAGCAACATGACTTTCCTCTCTTCCTCTTCCTGCTTGCAGTCTTGAAAAGCAAAAGCCTGCTAGGCATCCTTCAGTCTCGCCATTGATACCACAAATAATGTAAATGCAACCTTGTTTACCCAGGAGCCTGCAAAAATTATCTTGGGATCATTTCCACCATTTATTTTATGCCTATTTGGAAAAATGCAGGGCAACAATGACTAACCCTCATATAGAGCTAGCCAGAATAAAATGTTGAGTGTGTTCTCATGAGTTTTGGGAGCCTGAGATTTCTCAGGATCTTTACAATGTCGTTCCATGACCAAAGTGGATCTTCATTGCAGTGACCCTGCCTGCTTTCTAGCTCCCCACAAGTTCACCCCTCCAGTAAACTGTCAGATAATACATGTTGTCATTAAGTGCTGTCAAGTTGCTTCTGACCTATGCAGCAACTCTGACAGAGTTTTCAAGGTATATGAGATGTTCAAGAACTGGTTTACCATTGCTACTACACCCCAGTAAGTTTTCATGGTCAAATAGAGATTTTAAAGTAGGTCTCCCCTGAGTCCTGGTCTGACACTTTGTCCAGTGCAACATCCTGGCTTAGGCTACCTGTTACATCTGGAGAAAAAAAATGCAGCCGTGTTTACACCAAGAGATGTGGAAGTTATCTTCAAATCTTCCTCCACCACACACACCACACACACCATTCCTTATTCTTTGTGGTGTTTTCCTCCATGCTTTGTTGCTATTACTGAAATACCAATACTGACCTAAAAGGAGAGTCACTTCACTCTTTATGACATACCATTTTTGTACCAGGGATCATATGTTAAATACACAAACAGATAAAGCATATATTTATGTGTTGTGGGACATGCACCAGAAGGTGGTGGTATGGAATAAACCAAGCTTGCTTTGCAACCCTTTCAATGTCTTATTTCAAATCGGTGTTACCGTAAATTAATCGTTCTCTGCAGAGACCTAGGCAAGTGTTCTTCTATTTATGCAATTGTACTTACATGAGAGGAAAGTGGGAATGTGCTACCTCTTTACTTTGCAACAGTGGTCTGTACCAGGGAGTCTGCTGAACCCAAGTAAGTGCCCACACAATGTTGAGCTTTCCACAGCTGGGCTTTGAAGTGACCTGAAGAACCTACACAACTATAACAAATGACCCTATTTTAAATGTTAGCCTTCTGACATGTTTAAGGGGCACTGGCAGAGGATGGTGTAGAGCTACCCAGTACATCCCCACTCTTCCCCTTCATTAAGAAGTGAAAAATCCTCAGGTGAACCCCGAAGTGCTCCCTTCCATGTATGTGTTCATTGAACACTTTGATTCCTGCTTTGGTGGCTATTTCCTATCCATGACAAATACCGTATTTTTTTCTGTGTATAAGATGATATTTTTGTCTAAAATGTTTAGATTAAAAATTGAGGGTTGTCTTATACATGAAAGTAAGAAAGTGGAGGGGAAAAGTGGAGGGGGAAAGTGGAAGGGGAAAGCACTTTCCTCGCCAGAAAGGGGAAGGGGAAAGCAGGAATCAAAGTGCTTTGATCCCTGCCTTCCCCCTCCACTTTCTTGTGGAGAAAGAAATTTTGGGTTAGAAAAGTGGGGGGAAGGATCTTATACATGGGGGGATCTTATACATGAAAAATTTGGTATTTGGTGCAATTTCAAGCATATTTTTTAGCAATTTTGGGTCCAGCATAAGGCATATGTTTAGTAATATGTGTGCAGATGTGCACACATGTGTGTGCACATGCGCATGCATGCATGCACTCACATGCGTGTGTGTGTGCACACACGCGCACGCACACACATTGTGCTGCTTGAAATAGCCTTTGCTTTGGAAGGTCTTTCTCCTAACCTGAGATGTGTTATCATACATTTGCAAAGTCATTGTCTTCCTTCCCTTTCTACTCCATTTGTCTAGGGATCAAAGGGATACGATGGGCCCACTCTCTCACCAAGGCCTTAAATATATATATCTAGAGATAGTTCTGGAGAAACATGAATAGCTGTACTTTCCCAGCACACATCTGCTTGCTATACCATATTTCTAATATATTAGTATTGCTTCTTATGCTAAAGTGCTGTTTTCTGATTTGCCTCCTTCCTCTTTGCTTGAATCTTCAGAGCCTCTCAAAGCCACAATCAGTCCACGAAAAGTTAAGAGCAGTGTTGGTAGCCAAGTGTCCTTGTCCTGCAGTGTGACCGGAACGGAGGACCCTGAACTCTTCTGGTACCGGAATGGTGAAATCATCAACACTGGGAATAATGTGAGGATCATTGGGGTCAATCATGAGACCCTTATTATGGACGGCATGGCCAAAAGCGATGGTGGGGCATACCAGTGTTTTGTACGCAAGGACAAGATGTCCGCACAAGACTATGTTCAGGTGGTTCTGGAAGGTCAGTCATAGCCTGTTTTAGGGTGTGCTGTATTTCTATATAGAAATGTACCTTGTGGTTACACTTTCACTGCTCATGTCCTGACAGGAAATAGGAGTTGAAAGAGGTGGGCTGCTACAGGGCACATACCACAGATGGGGCTTGGACAAATTGTGTGCCATTGGCCTCTGAAGCTGAGATGTATATTTAGAGTTATTACAATCATCCTAGGATTGTGTCATGCTTTCTCTTTAGTTTTGAACAGTTTTCATCAGCTTTGCTTTCAGCATGGTAATTGAAAACTGAGAACCAGTAGCTAAGGAGCTAGAAGCATGGCTAATGAGCTCACTTGTGCACTTCTGGTGTGTCAGTTTTGCATTCAGAAGGCTTAGTAGAGGCATCAAGTTAGTTAAAGAAGCATATTTGGAGATTCTCACTGGCTTGGTGCCCAGAGCTTACCCTTCTACAAAAGTCATGTGTAATAATTGAGTACTGTTTGTGGAAGAGGAAGGGAGAATGAAAGACTGTGTCTTTGACCACTGGCTCTCAGTTAGGCAGATGCCATCAGCAGATGTGGGTTTGTTTTTTGTAATTTCTTTATTTGCATTACAGTTAAGCTTCAGAGCCGGTGAACAGCATAATTATATGCTTGTTTAATCAGACATAAGGCTTGCTGTGTTCAATAGAACTCCATGGCCGAAATCCTGTCGCCTAGAATTAGAGTAGGCCCATTGAATCAATGAGGAATTAGTGAGTCAACTCTTCCATATATTCTACTGATTTAAATGGGCCTATTCTGTGACTTACTTTGGTAAAATAAGCCTTTGCTACACTAGATCCATTTGAATCAGTGGAGCATAACAGAGGAATTGACTCACCAAATCTCTGTTGATTCAATAGGCCTATCTTAATTTGATTTATAGTGCTAAACCACAGGATTTTGGCCACTGTGTTCAATGAGATTTCTTTTCAGGCATACTGTATGTGTATAGAATTGTTGCCTCTTTAGGTCAAGAAGCAGCAAGGCTAATTAATACGAGCAATGGGCAGTGGGGCTCTCAATAGCATCACTCTATGACAGGGGTGAGCAATGTTTCTGAGGCCACCTGGTCCTCCAGAATCCACAAAGCTTCCCTTCCAGCCAGAAAAAACAAATGCAAAAATAAATCTTTTTTTTTAAATCAAAATCTGTTTTTTCTATTGTTTGATTTATTTAGAAGCAGCAATGTTTGCATGAGGGGTACATAGCCCCCACCAACCACATAACTTGTTCAACAACAACAGAAATAAGAATTGATTAAAATGGGATTTAAAAATTTATGATCACTTCCTGCTTTGATATTTCTCCTCAGTTTTTTATCATTTCCAGGCCTGTGGAGCTCATGGGACATGTGTTAGGTAAAAACATTTTCCCTGCCCCTACTAGGGTTGCCCACCAATGTTCTGTAATAAATATATCTATTCTTGCCTCTTCTTGGATGTTTCACAGAAACCACAATTGTGCTTTTGGAAATCATGTTATTATATGACTGGGTAATAAGCAGATTAATGACTGGGAACATACTCAGGTACAGTATAGGAATGACTAATGATAAGATGGAAAGCTATGGTAGATACTTTGCCCAAAGTCAACAATTTAGTGACACAGATGAACTGTAAGAAGGAAAATCTTCTATCCTCTCATCTATGTGCATTGTTCCACCAGAGGTAGCGAGATCACAATATGTAGTACAAATGGAAAATTGACTGAATAGGGTGAAGGATAGGTACCAAGAAGAAAATCCAATTTCAGTCTTGGAATCTACTGTCTCCTTCCAACTGGTATCTTCTCTCTGCTGAGAAGAAAGAGTTTCCCGAGTCAGTCCCTATTTCAAAAGTAGGATTGACTTGATGTTCAGCTCTTAATTACCTCATAGGGTTGTCCAAGGAAGAGGTAGATTGATTGGCCTCTTCTGTCAGTTGTCATCCAGATATTTAACATTTCCTATTTCTGCTTAGATATAACAAGTAGAACAACAGCAAAAGGTGTGAGAATTAAATAAGATTTATTTCCCAGAAATTAAAGCCCCTTCAGGCATTTAAAAAAGGGTTAAACTGAACGTATGAGGAGGGCATTATAACCCTTTCCCATCCCTGCCATTGTCTCCATGTAAAGGGCACTCCGAGTAATTGACTACACAGTCAAATGCTGTGGGATTTACTCCAGCAATAAAATAGATAAATGTAATTTTTTAAAAAAATTTCATTTACTGCTCATGTGACTCAAAGATCCACTAGAGGTCACTACTTTTCAAGCTGGAATGACTCAAGTGGACTTTTCTCTATGATGTGATCAATTCTTTTGGTCTGCAAAAGCATGGAGTGAATGTCTGTGGGTGGTGTGGTGACGTAGGCAGTTCGGGTGTGATGTTTACAGACTGCAAGAACAACCGTCTCTGCGGTCTATTGCCTGTGTGTCCCAGAATTTTTATTTTATTCTATTTTTTGAATAAGTGAGTTCAGCATTGCGTCATTGTATTAATACACTAGTTTAGCGCTAGATCACCCCTTCAAGGGTGATCTAGTGCTGAACTAGTGTATTAATAAATAAATAAATCTGGAAAATTAACTATAAAAGGATTGGCAGAGAAGAAGGAAGGGGGAGAGTGGGATGAAATGCAGATCACATGATGAACAGCCAGTGTCCTCTAAATCAATCCACCACCTTGTGTGATTACTCAAAGCAGATGGAAGTGGAATATAAGCTGTGAATCAAACTGCAGTAAAACGGAATTGTCAGTGTAGTTGCAGCTGCAGTCTGCAACAAGTGAAGCCTCTTCATGGCTGGTGAGCCACTATACGTAGTGGATGTTTTCCTGTTCAAACAACCTCTCCCGTTGACAAGGAAATAGGCAAGGGTGACACTGGAACATGCTCTCAGCTCATGCTATTTATCTAATCACTATCTAATCACTATCTAATCACTATTTTGACCATCAAAATAGTGGCTTTAATGGTTTGATTTTTAACATTTTTATTTATTAAATAATAACAACATGATATCCCTGTTGGAAGAGATATCTTCCAACAGAAGAGGAAATACATTAATGTACAGTATTTTATTGCAGTGTTTCAGTCTCAGAGAAAATATAAAATGGGGACCTTATTTCCACATAGCAGGATTTTCCTGCATGATTTTTTTTCCTTTTCCTTGAGGAATCTCACAGGAAATCTTGCAGGATTCCTGGGAAGTTTCAATGTTGCTCTTTTTCTGTAAAAAGTGTCAAACTGTTCAGGATGGTTACAATTCATGTGCAGAATGAAATGTTTTCTGCATAGGATACACTTGGAAAGAGCTTTAATCTGTCTAGAATTCAGCAGTATGATAATTTCTCATGCAGAACAACAGATGAAATAAATAAGTAAATAAAATAAAAAGGAAAACAAGACTAGGACTTTGCAAATGTCATGGGAAATCAGAAAATCTCAGAGAAGGGAATTTCAGCATAGTAAGCAGTGAAACTACCTCTGGAGCAAAAATCTTAAGACTGAGGCTGTCATACTTTGAGCACATCATGAAAAGGCAGGATTCTATAGAAAAGGTAATAATTCTGGGAAAGACTGGAGATAGATGGAAAAGAGGAAGACCAAATACGAGATGGATTGGCTTGAGCTGGCAAGAGCTGAGTAGGGCTGTTGAGGACAGGACATTTTGTAGATCACTCATTCATGGAGTTGCCATACGTCAGAGGGAACTTAATGACATGTAAACAGCAACAATGGCAAGCAGTGGTATTGTTGACCCAAGGCAAACAGAGCTGAAGACCTGGAATTTTCTCAGCAGAAGTGACTATGACATAATCTGGCACGTCATTCAGGCTTCTGTTATCCCTCTGTTTTTCACTCAAGTCTTCACAGCAGCTGAGAGAAATTGACTGATTTTCTCAGAAAGAGAATATTGTTGAGAATTGCCCCTATTATAGTGTAAAGTATTTGAGGATTGTTTGGTTATGAATGGGCAATTAAGACATCAACTGATATGGACCAATTCATCTTCCCTCATTTTTGAGTCTCCTTATGAGTAGAGGAGCAAGCTATGGGAAGCATGATGAGCAGCTGTACTTCAAGATTTACCAATCAACTGATATGGACCAATTCATCTTCCCACATTTTTGAGTCTCCATATGAGTAGAGGAACAAGCTATGGGAAGCATGATGAACAGCTGTACTTCAAGATTTACCATGGAGGCGGGGCTTTGTTGCGGTGCTGCCAGTAGCTCCAGAGAAGAGCTCTCCCTCTGGAAAAACGGGAACTGTCTGGTCCGGGATCCCCTTTTTGAAATGGGGATCGAAGGAGAGTCTAGGAGAAGTCTTTCTGAAGCAGATGGTGAGCAGCAGAGGGAGAAGAAAGGGATGCAAACCCGTACTTCTTCCCTCTGAAGAAATCACCCAGCATGGATCGGAGTGGGCTCCATATTTGGCACGGAGCCAGGGCCGGACTGGCCATCTGGCAATTCTGGCAAATGCCAGAAGGGCCGATGGTCAGAAGGGCTGGTTCTTGCCTCAGCGCAGGGCCAGGCTGAGCCCCCCTCCCCAAAAGAGAGCGAGCGAGCGAGAGAGCGAAAGGGAGCCTTCCCTCCC